TCAGGTAAGCAGGGCCGGCCAGAGCCTCATTCTAAGTTTTTTCAAGTCATTCTCGGGTTCCCAAACCCGACACGATTTTGTAAACAGATCGATTTTTCGGACCCGAACCCGACATGCTTTGAGTTGGAGTTAACCTAAACCCAAAATTTTTGGGTTGGGTCCAATATTGATAGGTCTAACACTATATATGTTTACTATAAATAGTGCAAGTATGAGATATATGACCAATCATTTCACAATAAAAATATTTAACCCCATAAAAAGGATTTTTTAATCTACATTAGTAAAATTGTCTTTTTCTAGATTTTAAAATTTTTTGTTTCTTTTTAGGAATTAAAAATTTTTAGGTGTGAGTGGAATCCTATTTTTCTTAAGTGCTTTTAATTGAGCTTTAAAAAATAAGTTTGCACTTTCTAACACAGCATTACCAACTTTAAAATAATGCTCTCTACTATCAGATTCATCCGTAAATATTTTTAAATCTTTTTCAAGTTCAGTGTAGGATGATTTCAATAATTCATGTTGTTTGTTCAATTTATCAATCTCATCCATTAGTTTCATATAGTTTCTATCAATCAGTGATTTATCTTTTCTAAGGATTTCATGCTCTTTTTGTAATTCCAAAAAGTCTAAATTCAACCTAGCATGCTTCTTTTTTAGTTTTCTATATGTAGTATGAATTTTTTTTTTAGAAACATTAAATAACTCTTCATAGGTTAAGTCGCATACATCTTTTTGATCTAATTGATCAAGCTTGTCAGCCATCAAACACAAGTTGGTAACTTGCTCCTCTGCTTCTATTTTTGAGGAATTCAAAGTTGAGTCTGCCCAGAATGGTCTCTATAATTTTCTCTTGCCTTATCTCACATTTGTCTTCTTCTTCACCTTCTCCTTTCTAGAATTGACTTTAAGATTCGGGCAATCTGATTTGATATGTATAGGCTTCCTGCATTCATAGCAAATAATATCATTATAAGCCTTAGCATTTTTGTGGAACTTACATTTATTCCATTACTGGTGTCTCCTTTGCTTCCTTTTTAGAAAACTCTTAAATTGCCTTATCATTAAGACATTTTCATCTTAATCCTCAAGCTGAGACTAATCACTCTCTGAGTCATCCACTTTCAATGCTATGTTCTTCTTCTTTTACTTCTCACATGCATCAATCTATTTTTGAGTCACTCCTTAATTGTAAGAAATTAGTGATCTAAAAGCATTATCAATAAAATAAACATTTAAATCTTTAAACTCTATAATAGCAGTTATTTTTACATCATAAGAAGCAGGTAAATAACAAAGTATTTTATTTACTTTCTCAGCATTTGTTAGTTTCCTACCTAAAGCATGCAATGAGATGACTATTTTTGTCAAATGTATGTACATGTTAGTGATTGATTCATTTGGTTTCATGCGAAATAGTTCATAATCATGTAGTAAAAAGTTCAATCTAGATTATTTCACCACATTAGTCCCTTCATATATGATACCAAGTTTATCCCAAATTTCTTTTCCACTTTTATAGGTAGACACACATATATAGTCTTCAGATTTAAGTGCATAGAAAAAAACTGTTCAAACATTTAACATTTAACTGAGCTAAGTTACATTATTCTATAGTCCAATCAGCAAATGGTCTTTCAGTTCTGATGCCATCTATAAGTTTAGTTGGTCTAGTGTATCCTTCCTGTACTAAAATGCACATACGATAGTCAAGCGATTGAATAAAGTATACAGAGTCTTTTAAATTTTTAATATGTATTTTAAATTATTGAGTTGTAAAAGTTAATTTAAAATAGGATAATATCTATCTAACTTAAAATCGAAATAAAATGAGATATCCCTTAGGGGAGAGTTCCTTTCATTTGAGGATTTAAATTAGAATAATTTAAAAATCCAAAGAGGAAAGAAACACCCCTTTGGGGAGGAGTTCTTTCCATTTAGATACTTGGACCTAATGAAACTAAGGAGCTCGTAGATGAGAGGAAGATAAAGAAATGAAGGCTTAAAAAATAACCCATTTTAAAATTATGTGTGTCCTCTTTAAGATTAGAATCAAGGTTTTTATTAGTGGTACCCAGCTACTTTTAATTTCTACAGACTCTAGGTTATTTGTCACATGGACTTTTACATTTACTTGATATATTTTGATCATATGGTTTGATTTCTATGTTTACTTTATGTATTTAGAGTTTCATAAACCTTATTAGGTTTCTTTCTTGTATGCTAATTTAATTTTAGTAAGGATGCAATTGGGTGCTTTAAGGATCAACTTTTTCTACTCATAAATAAATAAAATTTTTTGTCCAACATAGAAAGATAAATGATTTTACAAAGTAAGCTTGGGCACACCTATGATTTCTTGCATATATACTATGACTTCTCTTCCTTATTAGGCACCTCCTTTCTTACAGGTTGTGGCAAACTACCTAGCCTATTAGAGTGTAGCTCGGTCTAAGGGATGTTGAGCAATTTTTAAGGAAAATCTACTTTCTAAGAAAATTTTTTAAATTGCTTCATATTATTTATGCATACAAGGTCAATCAACATGTATTGAGAAATTAATTAAATTAATAAAAATTTTATTGCATTCAAGCATAATCACTTTGCATAAGTAAAGGCACCAATTAGGACATTCCTTAGACGTTAGCCCTAACTCCTTAAAACATAAATAATACCTTTACCTATATTTTATAGAGATCAGACTTATGATTTTGAAGTGTTAGGTGGTTAGTTGGCTGCCAAATCTAGGCTGAGATAAGTTTAGATTTGCATGTCATTAGCTTAGTTCAGGCCACTATAATTTGGTGCCAAAAATAAACTCAGGATCCAAGGCAAACCCATAAATCATAAGTCCCCAATTTTGTGAATATAATCCCAACATTCAAATAAATTGCCAACTCAAATTAAAATTTTCTCTAAACAAAAAATATAAAGCCAAACACAAAGGATAAATATGGGTATATCTAAATTATTTTAGAATCCCAAGGCACCTCTAACCATTCCTTCATTGGCCTCCAAAAAAAATTGTTCAAAATTTAATCCAATTCCATTTGAAATTCCAATATAAATCTGTTGATATCACTCCTTTTAATCTCAAAAATAAAATTTTATCACTATTATAATCGAGAGTATTTATAGGAAGCTAAAAAAAAATTATAATGTATGTAACTACTAAGGCTTGAATTCGTTGGAGATTTAAAGGCCCAAGATCAATTAAAAAATTAATCAATTCTCTTTGAAAAAATCAAAATCAAAGACGATCATTATCATCATATTCAAACGAATGCTAATAAATGATATTTTCTTTCTTGGGAAGATATGTCATTTATTTATTATATATAATATTAATATGTCTCCAAAAATCATCCAGTTCTAGAGCAAATCTTGATGCATATTTGAATTGAAAACTTCTAAATTAACTTAGGACCATCCAAACTCTAATTTTAGCAAACTTAAAATGAAATTGGTTCAATCCGAGCACAAATGGGCCCAAATAAAGGGATAAAAGCATATTTAGATGCTTGGAAGCATTAATTTGATAACTAAATGATCTCCAAATAGAGCATGCTTAAGTCAAATTGAGCAACTCGATGAGCTGAATCCAATAAGTCTAAAATTATTTAAGACACTTAAATGTTGAACATATGATCCATGATCGAGGGAATCAATATGGATTGTCCTATGGTTCACTTTGAATTTACTGTGAATTTTCTTCATATTTATGGGCATGTCACTCTCAAAATCTATAAATAAATCTCATCTTCCCATATGAAATGGGTCTTGGACCTCTTTCAGCTAAGGGGATGGGACCTTTAAAGTTTTAACCCTAAGCTAGAGAGTTAAGAGCTATGAGGCTTGAAGTATCATAAAGTTTCACCCCAGCACCACCGCTAGAAAACATCTCCACCAAACCACCACTATTGGACCTCTGCCTAACCATCTTTGTCAGGCCTCCGTCTAGTAACCATCATTGAACCTTCGTTCGACCTTCATCACCCAGTAACTACGATCCATCTGATCACCATTTTCTATTGACTATGGTCCCTCTAACCTCTATCACCTATGGAATATAGTCCCTCTGACCTCTGTTGCCTCATAACTATGATTACTTTGACCAGTGTCACTCACCGACTATAGTTTCTCATGTAATATCCCAAACTCTTAACCTTCAAGATATTCTTCGCTTTGACCTAAGAGCCTCATAGTTTTGTCTTGTTGGTGTAACTTTCAAGAAGTTTATCCATCCTAAGAATTTCCTAAAATGTGCATGCTTAACTGTAGAGTTTCGTAATGAAATTTCAACAATTAAACCAAAATGCCCCTTGAAGTTTATAATTGTAGCTTCTTTTTACTTAAGGATCACATTCTCCCTCACTTATCATCAGTATCTTTATCCCATAATCATCCACCAGGCAGATAGAATTATAGAGGTAGCCCCTACAAGTTCAAGTGGGGACTCCCGCCATATAGCATTTTGTCCCATATAGGGTTCAAGAGGTGGCTCCCATGGAGTAACACTTTGTCTTATATGCCACTTAATTCCCATTTTCTAGACGGTGTATTGATCTGATACTACTCCACCATCATCGTGATTATTATAGTGATATTTGGATTTGGAGCAATAACATCTCGACAACTAGGAGAGTGAGGTCCTATGGGAATATGTGTGGCTTCCTTGATAGTTCTTATGCCATCAGTTCCATGAATGATGAAACATTCTCTCTTTTATTCCATTTGAAATACAATGTTCTTATTGTTGTTGGAATGTTGCTTCAGAATTCAGACATTTTATAAAATTTTATGTTGTTTAAAATTTTTAAGTCAATTTTTTTTTATAGCAAAGTTAATTTTATGAACGTTCAATCAGCTTATTTTGTCCTAAAATATTATATATATTTAATTACTCATAAATTATTAATTAACACTTAAATTATATTTTAAGTATAGTTTAAATATAAAAGACAAATTAATCTTTAATGAATTATTATTTTTAAATATAAATAACAGGTTTATCTCTATGATTGCTAACGCTGGGACTCAGGTAAGTCGCGATCGGTATCAACCTTAGCCGCCGTCCGTATCGTACGTTGTCGCCACCACTGCAACCATGGGTCGTATGCATAGCCGCGGGTAGCTGCACGTCTCTCATCTCTCTCCCCTCTTGTCTCCTGATCGTCTTCCCGTTCCTTGACTTTTTTTTTTTTTTTTAAATTTCTCTCTTTTTTCGATCTTGGCGAACAGTAAGGGTATTTCTTCTTCGGCTCTTCCTTATAAAAGGACTCCTCCTAGCTGGCTCAAAACCTCTTCCCAGGATGTATGTTTTCCACTATACTTTTTTAAGCAATTTTGAGGAAAAATGTTTTTGAGGTTTTGTGATGCATAGGTGGAGGAAAACATTTGCAAGTTTGCGAAGAAAGGGTTGACGCCCTCTCAGATTGGTGTCATTCTTCGGGACTCGCATGGTATTGCTCAGGTGAAGAGTGTGACTGGAAGCAAGATTCTCAGGATTCTCAAAGCTCATGGTATAGAATAGTACATTGTTATTGCTTTTCTTAATAATTTTAGAGCTCCCCATTTTAATTATCTTTTGTTTTCGGATACATTCTGTAGGGCTTGCACCCGAGATTCCTGAGGATCTGTATCATCTGATAAAAAAGGCCGTTGCTATCCGAAAGCACTTGGAAAGGAACCGGAAGGACAAGGACTCGAAGTTCCGGCTTATTCTTGTGGAGAGCAGGATCCATCGTTTGGCTCGTTACTACAAGAGGACTAAGAAGCTTCCACCCGTTTGGAAATAGTGAGCACAACTTGCTTGATGGTTTTCATGTTCTTATCATCCATATTTTCTGAGTTAGCTTGCATTATGGGCTAAACTTTAAAGCCTTCCGCTTAGTTGTTGTAGAGGAACTTTAACTAAAGATGAGGATATTTTTTGACTTGTTGCATGCTGTCTTTTGAGAAAATTGTTATTCATACTCTTGCATTAATAAGGGGCCGGCCAAATGCTGAGGTATGTTGATTAACTTCACTACATTGCTCATAATTTCATTAATTCAACTCACTTCTAACTACAATAACTGCCAACCATCTTTCAATTAACGTTCAACTCTTTTAAGTTTTAACTAAATTAACTTTCAAATATAAAAATTACAATTATTATTTGAAATAAAGATAACATCAAGATGGTCATCAAGAGTATAAATTTACTTGAAGTGTTGCATCACCTACTCTATCTAAAATCTCAAAGAAACTTTTCTTCGTTGCTGAAAAGTGTGAATATATATTCTTACCCTATAATTATGATTGAGTGCTGGGTTAAAAGCATTTCACTCATTATTTTCTTTCCACCTTTTCACATGCTTCCCACAATTTTCAAGCTTGTATTGATTCTTCATTGTTATTTCTAGAAAATATCATAGAGGCTGATGCATGTTATCTTTAATTTTTTACATCAATGATTGTGTTTTGCCTTCTAATTTTTGTACCAATCATGTCTCTGGCAGAATTTATTTCAAATATAAAAATTACATTTGTTTCCACTGTATTGTTTTAGTGGTGTTTTCTGTCCACGAAAGGACCACCTTTTTTTCACCCAAAAGCTTAATTTGTTGGATGATCTCAATCTTGTCCTTGCACAAGAGGTTTTTGGATAAAACATATGTTATTGGCGGACGTTATCTTTAGTACCTTTTTCTTGGCAGCTTTGACGTGGAGGGGGAGTCTCAAGGTTTGGTAGGTTTTGAAAATTACATGTGTAGCTTTGCTGGTGGAAAAAAAATATAATATGGAATCATGCGGTATTTTCATCCCAAAAATGTTTTTACTTTTTCTAAATTTTATTCTTGAACTATCATTGTTCCGGTAAACTAAAAGAGGCGTACCTTTTTAGAAAATAGGGAAAATTTTGCAATTAGCATGGAATTCTAGGGACTAAAATGCTAGTTCTCCAATTTGTCTTGATTTCTCGTTGATGAACTTTATTAATAGCAAATTAGTGACATATTTTGGTGACCAGTTTGGAGGATTACATTTTTTTACTAACAGAGTAATTTGTTACCTAAGCTTTCTGATACCTCTCCTTCAATTGAAAACTTTCGCATACTAAAACGTGATGATGGTGCTCATCACTTGGACGCCAGAATTTTTCTTAAGACATTCAGCATGCTAGCAGTTTGCCCACTTTGAATATGCTTGTAGAAAATCACCTCTCCTGCCCCCTCACAAATCACCTCTCCTGTGGGGAGGTGCTTAAAATTTTGATTTTGTTGATTTAGTCATATTTTGTGAGTATCCTTTAATTTTAACTAATTAGATCATCTTGGACTGCACCATTAGTTTCAACTCTAAGGTTATGAAGAAGCGTGCGGTCATTAGTTTCAACTGCAAGCTTATTAAGAAACTTGTGTAAGCACTAACTTTTCTCATCCAATAGAGCATTTTTTCTTCTTGCAATCACTTAATTGCTCTATTGCTTGATTAAATGCAGAAATTCACACCATCAGATTAACATATCACATAAATCTTCTTTGCTTTACATGTGGAACAAACCATAGATGTGCTTCACTTCATATATGCTACTTGCCAATTAAGGTGGATTTAAGAACATTATGTCTATGTTTTCAATGTTATTAATCTTCCTGGAGGCACTCTCTTTGTGGGTTATCCTTTTCAGTGGCTCTAGATCAACATGTAAGATCCTTTTTGCTCATGAGGCTAAGGAACCATCTTTCAGCAATAAATGAGTATAAGAAATGAATTTAGAACACATGTAGCAAGAGATATACAAGTAAAATTTGATAATTGATTTACTAGTAAAAGTTGATAATAGATTTGTATTTATGATATCTAGTATAGTACCGCATGCCATGCAAAACATAGTTATTTATGTGCTTTAAACAATAAAACACGAAATCACGTTTGAACTTGATTCTTGCTAGAATAATAAAGAGATTAGAGAAATTAAGCTTCATCAGAAGTCAATTTGCATAATATTCCTTCTAGGCTAACCTTATAAGCAATCCTTTTCACAAACTCGAGATCAACCTAAATATTCTTTTTGTTCATTTAGGCCAAAGAACCATCTCTCTAGAACAGATATGAGTATAAGAGAGAAATATAAATAACACATAGCAAGAGAGAGAGAGAGAGAGAGAGAGAGAGAGAGAGAGAGAGAGATCTTCTTTGTATTAGTGCGAGAGACCAAAAGGAGGTTGATCATGTTGAGTCTACCTCGTGAGAGTGAGGTCTTTTCAAGCACATGGAATAAGAGTGACCAAGTCGTCAGCTGTGAGAGATAGGCATGTTTGAGCATGAGGTGCATTTTTTTTTCAAGTAGCAAACAAGTAAATTATTATGAATATTATTTTCTCAGATATAAATTTCTTTTAAAGAGGAAATCCTAAATTGAGGTACTATGAATTTTTTTATTTTTTTTTCTTACTATTTTTAAAATGTTGAAAAAGAATTCATGTAGTCGACCCCATGTAGTGGGATAATGTCTTGATGTTGTTTTAAAATTTTTGTTTACTATTATTTATTTTAGATTTTAGATTTTATTGATCTATTTGTTGAATCTCATTTCAAAAATTCATTTTATATTAACATTTAAATTTAGATTTATGTTTTGAATTAAGTATGCCCATGTTTTATATCATATTTATGAATTATTTTTAATTTTTTGTTGTTAGGTTTACATCTTTATCTGGCTTGAGGCTTACACTTTGCCTCGCTAAAGCAAATTGCCTTAATTCTTGATTTTGCATTTTTAAATCTTGGTTGAGATTGATGTTCATGTTAGTATAAATTCTCTCACTATCCTAGGACAAGTTGGAATATTAAAGAAATCCACCCATTTTTTATGATGAGCTTCAAGAGTATTTTAAGATGGATTAATTTAAGATAGTTTAGCCTTAATAAATTGCAATCTTCTCATACTTAAGATATTGTTTTACTAACATTCATTAATAAAGCTTTGTTTAGAGGGGGATGAGCTAGTGAACTTAAAAATGTGGGATGGTTGAATAAATCGACCTTTCATTTAGTTTATGGAAATGGAAGAGTTGTTTTCCATGATTTTTTGGCAGATAAATCAATGGAGCAAGAAGACCGACAAAAAATAACTATAGTCTCAAGGGTATGAGGAAAAAAATATTGATTCTTGAAATTAAAGAACATTGAAATGAAATCTTACCATTGCATGATCAATTTGTGAATATTTTTATAGGTTCTCTGGTGCACGATAATGGTGTGCAAAATCTATGCAATTACTTAAATACGTTTCAAAATCAGATATTTTGGAAGCTTAAGAAATATGTTTAAATATTATAAATGAGAGCAAATAACCATATAAATAAAAATTAACATATATAGAGCACTTAGATGTAAATTATGGATATAAATACTATTAAATTCCCTGAAGCTTATCTTATTTAAATCTGAAAACTATTTTTATATTAAAATCTTTCTACTGGTTGAAAAATCTTAGACCAGTCAATTTCATAGCTGAAATCAACTGGGTGGTTTCAGTAATTTCAGTAAGCCCAATGGCAGCAGGAAATTAATTTGGTAGATTGATTTTGTTTTTGTAATTGAGTAGCTTCTGTACATCTACAGGAAGAGTGGTCATTTTGTTTATATTTTCCCAGCATTTTGTCCTAAACATGACCAAATCTTCCTGTCCCTAATTCTTATTGATTGGGAGCTAGCTTCCAGCAATGGTTTTCTTATCTTATCTGAGAAATTTGATTGGACATTTGATAAAATGATCAATTTAAAATTTCTAAATTAAGAAAATCTCTTATTCTACCTCCAAAACTTGAACTATTTTTCAAAATTTCAAATGTTTATTAATACATTAATCATTCCTTACATAATACATCTTGAAAAACTCTTGGTAATATTTTTATTATCAAGAAGTGCTTAAAACTTTTCTTCATTCTATCTATTTGAGCTTTTCTTTGGCATGGTCCTCCTTAGAGCAGTATTTATGCAAGTTGACTTTTATTGAAATTTAGTTTCTGCAAAGCTCCTTATTCTAGAAAAAAAATCATATTCAAACTAGTTTTCATATTTTATTGTTTAAAACTAGTTAAATAACTAAGTTTGTTTGCTTTGACAATTGGTGATATAATAGGGCTTCTGATTGCAGACTATTTTTTTTTTTGTATTCCTCTTGCTAAAAGTGTTCTAGCATTATTTTTTGTGCTCTATGTTTTGGTTCCTTTGCTCGTGTGAGCAATAACGATCTTGTTGTTCATAAAAACATCTGATGTTTCCTTAAACACAAAAGAAGGGAAAGCTTGTATGGTTTTTTGCCTTAAAAGATTAGCGAACATTGTTACTGAAATTTCAAGTGCGAGCTTGGGGAGTAGATACATGTTTTAGAAGTTAAACCACTACAAATCTTATTTTCTTTTTAGTGGGTGGTTTATCTGAGTTGCTTTATCTAACTTGTGAATGTTCTAACTATTGCACATCTTCCTTGTACTAAATTTCTAACATTTATTTTATTGCATAAGCTACAATTTCCTTGCATTACATTCTACCCCTTTGGTGTACTGATGTTTGATTTTGGATATTTATTTTACTGTAATCAACAACTTCTAATGGTTGCAATTCACATATGTTGGTGTGTTTTTTTAGTACTTTTTTAGTAATCACTTCTTAACTTTTTTTCAATCCAACCCAATCATAACATCATATCAATTAGCCTTTGTTATGATTTTTTTTTTTTAAGTTTTTGAAAATACTCAATTTATTCGCACTTGGGTATGCACCAATGCCAACGTTTTAAACAAT